TGTTCAGGAATTCTGAATATTATAACTGTAGCCTAGCCTAAAAACCATAGGGAGTTGTGGAAAAGATGCACATTGTATTTATCTGCCATCATTAGATGGTTAAGGGGTATTTTCATCCAGTAGCATTGTCGTAGTTTCTTTTTTCATTGGAATCATTAAATCTTCTATCCACCACTAATTTAAGACAACTATGCTAGATAAGTTGTTTCAGACTACTTTATTTAGGTGGGTTCATTTTCACTCCTCAATAGATTTTATGTATTTCTCATATGCTTCTTCACTCATTAGTTCATCTAGTTCTGAAGGGTTACTCAGTGTCATCTTGATCAGCCAACCTGCAACCAAAGAAAAGTATCTTATATTTCAAATTACCTTTTTAAAGAGTTAAATTCATTAAAAAATATAAAATAGTTTTATTTTAAATTAGCTTATATTTAGTATTATTTTGGATTTGTTTCAGATGCACAGCATAGTTGTTAGACAATCATATGCTTTTATACAGTGATCTCCCTCCTGACGTTTCGAGTACCCACCTAACATACACAATTATTACAATATTATTGATTGATTTGATTTCCTATGTTGACTATTTTGTAACTACTAACTAGTACTTCTTAATCTCTTGACTTTCTCACCCAACCCTCCAAATGCCCCTCTTCATCAGTCTGTTCTCTGTATCTGTGAGTTGGTTTCTATTTGTTTGTTCATTTATTTTATTTGTTAGATTCTACATGTTAAGTAAAATCATATAGTATTTGTCTTTCTTTGCCTGACTTATTTCACTTAACATAATATCCTCTAGGTCCATCCATGTTGTCACAAATAATAAGATTTCATTCTTTTTAATGGCAGAGTAATGTATATGTGTACCATAGCTTTTTTTATCCACTCATCTATTGATGGGCACTTGTGTAAATAATATACAATGAACATAGGGGTGCATATATTATTGAATTAAGATTTTGGGTTTCTTTGGCTATATACCCAGTAGTGCAATTGTTGGGTCATTAGGTAGTTCCATTTTTAATTTCTTGAGGAACCTCCATATTGTTTTCCATGGTGGCTGCACCAATCTTCATTCCCACAAACATTCCAATAGGATTCCCATTTCTCCACATCCTTACCAACACTTGTTTTAAAATAAATTCTTTAGTGCCTCAAAATTAATGTAATATTATTTACCTCAATGACTCATTGTTCAAGGAATTTTAAGTTTTAACATTAAGAATTAAATTAATATCCATGCATATCATTATCGAAAAGATTACAACTAGAATAGATTCCACTATAATGGATTAAGAACTGTTAGATTGTAATAAGCATCAACAAATGACACTGAATAGGGATCCAAGTATACAAGAGACTAGGTATATCTTTCATTAACAAGAGGAACACCAACACTGTTAACTACTGATGTGAAGGACATAGAAAGTAGAGAGTTAGAAGGGCGTGGTGATAGGCAACAGAGAACTACAACCTAATCCTAATTTTACCATTTATGGCTGTGTGACCTTAACAGATAAATCCTTTCTGGGCCTCATTTCATCTACAAAATGAAGAAAATTGCTACTAGCCTACCTCACTGGGTAGCTATAAAGATGAATATTTGAGAAAACTGAAAATAAATGAAATAAGTATTATTCTATTATCCCCTACATCCCAATATAGACACTTTATGTTTGAAGAAGTAAATATTTTGCAAGTGTTTAATACTAAGAACCCTGTAAAACAAGGCCATGCTTTATTTTATCAACAATGATCTTAATCAACATAACCTTAGATATTCAGCTAATCTGTGCTTTTTTTTATTAAACGCAGAACATCTCTATTTAGTACCAAAGAGTGTAAAGAGATAAAGTCAATTTGCTAAAACTTGCTTTTAACCTTAGATTAACAACTTACCATCTTCATAACAAGATTTGTTGACAAGTCCTGGATTTTCTATAAGAGCTGTATTAATTTCAGTTACTTCTCCTGACAGAGGACAATAGAGTTCACTGGCAGCTTTCACACTTTCCAAAGCACCAAACTCATCTAAATTAAGAAAATGAAAGACAATATTAAATGTCAAAAGTTAATGACCTGAATGTGCCAATATAGAAAATTGGTCACTTCAAGTTCAATCATGATAAAATTCCAAGTATCTTTATTTAAAAATAAAAGCATAGATTTTGTCATGTTTGTATCACCTATGAGAAGAATATCAGTATCCTCAATAAAGCAGACCTATTTCTTTTAGACAGAGTAAACAAATGGTGATGTATCTGAATACCAGCAGTGCTTGAATTCACTAAAACTCAATCTTCTTTCAATTTACTATGGTTCAGGAAAAAACAAACTCAGAAGATTCCAGTAGCAGTACAGTACCTCAGACCCACCTTTCTACAGATACACCAAAAACAAACAAACAAAAAACAATTATGTGAAGGATCTGTAAGATAACCAAAAGGAGAGTTAATGATTGAAAAAAAAAAAGGGGACCCAATCTGAGATCTTCTTTTATACAATGCATACACTTATAACACCATGCTATCCAAAGACCACAGTGTAATTAGAACACAAGTAGAAAACCAGTCTTATTTCTTTGAAGGGTCAAAGGATGAATTATGGGGCTGCCAAGATGGCTGGAAAATGAGGATGGAAGAGAGAAAAAGTAGTCAGCAGAAAGATCCCCAAACAACCTACAGACCCACCTGATAAAATTACCAGAGAACCTTAAAATAGCTATTATAAGCATATTAAAAGACTTCTTAAAAAAAGATCATCATAATAAGTGAACATATGGAGGAATACTTGTAAATAACTTTTTAGAACTGAAAGTAAACTACTTAAAACAAAATATCCCCTGAATGGTATACACAGCCGACTGGATATAGTAAAACAAAGGACCAGTGAATGTGAAGAATGATAATCTGAAATTAACCAATCTAAAGAACAGTTTAAAAAAAAAGGCTGGCTCTAGCTGGTTTGGCTCAGTGGATACAGCATCAGGCCTGCAGACTGAAGGGTCCCAGGTTCTATTCCTATAAAGGGCACGTGCCCAGGTTGTAAGGTTGATCTCCAGTAGGGGTGTGCAAGAGGCAGCCAGTCAGTGATTCTCATCATTGATGTTTCAATCTCTCTCCCTCTACCTTCCTCTCTGAAATCAATAAAAATATATATATTTTTAAAAGGCTGAAAAATTAATAGAGCCTTAGTCACCTATAAGACAGTATCCAGTGGTCGGAGTGAATGATGAGAATACAACATACCAAAATATTTGGTACACTAGAGGTTCGGTGCACGAAATTCGTGCACAGGCAGGGTCCTTAGGCCTGGCCAGCGATCAGGGCGAATCAGGGCCTTCCAGCTGCTAGCTGGAGCCTTCCTGCCTTCTGCCCTGCCCCCGGTGATCAGTGTACATCATAGCGGTCGAACTCCTGGTTGGTAGAACTCCTGAGGGGACAATTTGTATATTAGCCTTTTATTATATAGGATAGCCAAAATGGTGCTTAGAAGGAGATTGATGTCTTTAGCTTTTATTTAAAAGGAACATCTTTTTTGAAAAAAAATATAATTTATTGATTTTTTACAGAGAGGAAGGGAGAGAGATAGAGAGCTAGAAACTTCCATGAGAGAGAAACATCGATCAGCTGCCTCCTGCACATCTCCCAGCGGGGATGTGCCCGCAACCCAAGTACATGCCCTAGACCGGAATCGAACCCGGGACCCCTCAGTCCGCAGGCCGACGTTCTATCCACTGAGCCAAACCGGTCTTGGCTAAAAGGAACATCTTGACTATACAATCAGTCTGCAGACAGAGGTGGGTCTCTGGAGGCTTTGAGTCTTTGCCTAATCAAATTAGTCAGAAACAGCATTATACACTGTCCTGCACTGAAGATTGGGAGGCATAACAGATCTACCTAACACATACTCACAAACCCATCCAGGCAACCAAAATAGGGAGACAAAAAAACCCCCAAAATAAAACAAAACCCCAAATGAAAGAACAAGAGAATTCTCCAGAAGAAGCACTAAATGAAATGGAGATAAGAAATTTATCAGACATAGAGTTGAGAATAATGATGGCAAAGATGCTTAACAGCATGAGAAAACATGAAGAACGACATAGCACTAATAAAGAACAAAGGAAAGAACACAGTAGATTAGGGGAAGCTGAGGATTGGATTAGTAAATTAGAAGACAGGGTAGAAAAAAATCAGAGAACCAAAAAGTAAAGAATAGGACAGCTTAAGGGAGCTGTTGGGATATGTAACAATATCCACATAACAGATGTGCCAGAAGGGGAAGAAAGGGAGCAAGGGATAGAGAACGTGTTTAAAGAAACAATGGTAGAAAACTTCCCTAACTTGGTGAAGGAAAAAGTCATAAAGTTCAGGAGGCACAGAGTGTCCCCAACAGGCCATGCCCAGACACATCATAATTAAAATGCCAAAAATTAAAGACAAAGAGAGAATATGAAAGGCAGCAAGAGAAAAGCAACCATAAGGCTATCAGATGTTTTCTCACCAGAAACTCTATAAGGCCAGAAGGGAATGGCATGAAGTATTCAAGGTAATGAAAAGCAAGGATTTGAAACCAAGATTACTATATCCAGCAAGGCTATTATTCAAAACAGATGGTGATGCCTTAGCTGGTTTGGCTCAGTGGATAGAGCGTTGGCCTGCGAACTGAAAGGTCCCAGGTTCGATTCTGGTCAAGGGCACATGCCCGGGTTGTGGGCTTGATCCTCATTGGGGGACTTGCAGGAAGCAGCCGATCCACGATTCTCTCTCATTATGGATGTTTCTATCTCTCCCTCCCTCTTCCTTCCTCTCTGAAATCAATAAAAATATATTAAAAAAATAAAAAATAGATGGTGAAATAAAAAGCTTCCCAGTTAAAAAAAGGCAAAAGGCTTTTATTACCACCAAACCAGCACTGCATGAGTTGCTAAAGGGACTGCTATAATGAGAAGAATAAAGAGACAGTGAAACATAGGCATAAATAATTAAAATGGCAATAAATAAATACCCATCCTATATAATAGAGGTAATATGCAAATTGACCATCATTCCAACACACAAAGATGGCCACCCCCATGTGGTCACAAGATGGCCTGCAAGGGAGGGCAGTTGGGGGAAACCAGGCCTGCAGGGGAGGGCAGTTGGAGGCGACCAGGCCTACAGTGGAGGGCAGTGGTGGGGGACCAAGCCTGCAAGGGAGGGCAGTTGGGGGGGACCAGGATGGCAGGGGAGGGCAGTTGGGGGTTACCAGGCCTGCAGGGGAGGGCAGTTAGGGGTGACCAGGCCGGCAAGGGAGGGCAGTTGGGGGCAACCGGGCCGGCAAGGGAGGGCAGTTGGGGGCAACTGGGATGGCAAGGTAGGGCAGTTGAGGATGACCAGGCCAGCAGGGGAGCAGTTAGGCATTGATCAGGCTGGCAGGGGGGTGGTTAGGGGGTAATCAGGCTGGCATCAGAAGCGGTTAGGGGCAATCAGGCAGGCAAGCAGTTGGGAGCCAGCAGTCCTGGATTGTGAAAAGGATGTCCAATTGCCCAGTGGGATCGGGCCTAAATGTGCAGTTGGATATCTCCCGAGGGGTCCCAGATCGGAGAGGGTGCAGTCTGGGCTGAGGGACACCCCCCCTCCCATGCATGAATTTCATGCACTGGACCTCTTGTCTATATATATATATAAAAGCCAAAGCGACAATCTGACCGGTAGTTATGATGTGCAATGACCACCAGGGGGAAGAAGCTCTGACTGGTAGCTATGATGTGTACAGACCATGAGGGGGCAGATGCTCAATGCAGGAGCTGCTGAGCGACCTCTCGCACTCTGGGACCCCTTGGGGGATGTCAGACTGCCAGTTTCGCCCTGATCCCTGCAGGCTAGGCCAAGGAACCCCACTTGCCAGAGGGACACCGCTCACTCTGCAGACATCCTTCGAGCCCCAGCGACACCCCACCAGCGCGGGAGGTTGGCTCCAGGGTGTGTCCGGCCCGTCTCACCCAGTCCCACGCCGCTGGCCACCTTTTAATTAATTTCTTTTGAATGTGCACGAATCCATGCACCAGACCTCTAGTCAATAATAACCTTAAATGTAAATGGATTAAATGCTCCAATCAAAAGACATAGGATTGCTGAATGGATACAAAAATATGACCCAATTATACCCTGTCTACAAGAGACCCACCTTAAAACAAAAGACTCAGGATGAGAGTGAAGGGATGGAAATTTTCCATGCAAATGGAAACGAGCAGGGCATTCCACAAAACTATAAAGGTCACTACTTAAAACTAAAGGTATTGATCCAACAAGAGGATATAACCCTGGTAAACATATATGCACCCAATATAGGAGCACCTAAATACATAAAAAAACTTCTGGAAGACTTTAAGGGAGAGACCAACAGCAATACAGTCATAGTAGGGGACTTTCACATCCCACTGACTTTACTGGATAGATAGATCTTCCAGACAAAAAAATTAACAAGGAAATAGTAACTTTAAGGGACACATTGGATCAGATGGATTTAATTGACATTTATAGAATATTTCACCCCAAAGCTGTAGAATATACATTCTACTCAAGTGCACATGGGTCATGCACATTCTCAAAGATCACATGTTAGGACACAAACAAGTCTATACAAATTCAAGAAGATTGAAATCATATCAAGCATCTTCTCAGATCATAATGGAATGAAATTAGAAATCAACTACAGTAAAAACACTCAAAAACATTCAAATACATGGAGGCTAAAGAACATTTATTAAACCATGAATGGGATACCAATGAGATCAAGAAAGAAATTAAAAACTTCCTGGAAGCAAATGAAAACAAACGTACAACAACCCAAAATTTCTGAGACATAGCAAAAGCAGTCCTGAGAAGGAAGTTCATAGCATTATAGGCCTACTTCAAAAAATAAGAAAAATCAATAATAAACTACAGCTTACAGAATTAGAAAGAGAACAACCAGAAAAGCCCAGAGTAAGTAGAAGGAAGGAAATAATAAAGATTAGAGCAGAAATAAATGGCAGAGAGACTAGAAAAACAATACAAAAGATCAATGAAAACAAGAGCTGGTTCTTTGAAACGATATACAAGATTGATGTACCTTTAGCCAGGCTAATCAAGAAACAGAGAGGAGCCCTAACCAGTTTGGCTTAGTGGACAGAGCGTCGGCCTGTGGACTCAAGGGTCCCAGGTTCGATTCCAGTCAAGGGATGTGCCTTGGTTGCAGGCACATCCCCAGGAGGGGGTGTGCAAGAGGCAGCTGATCGATGTTTCTTTCTCATCGATGTTTCTAACTCTCTATCCCTCTCCCTTCCTCTCTGTAAAAAATCAATAAAATATATTAAAAAAAAAAAAAAGAAACAGAGAGGAACCAAATAACTAAAGTCAGAAACAAAAGCAGTGATGTAACAATTGGCACCACAAGTGAAGTAACAATTGGCACCATAGTAAGAAAATACTATGAACAACTATATGCCAACAAATTGGATGATGTGGATGTCATGGACAAATTCCTAAAAAATAGTCTTCCAAAAGCAAATCAAGAAGAATCAGAAAACGTGAATAGGCCAATAACAAATCAATGATTCTCTCTCATCCTTGATGTTTCTATCTCTCTCCCTTCCTCTCTAAAACCAATAAAAATATATATATATATTTTTAAAAAGCTTATCATATAAAAAGCTTAAAGGAATGAAAAGGTAAAACCACAAGCTATGACAAAATATTTACAAAATATATATCTGATAAAGGATTTGTATCTAGAATATATAAAGAATGCCTAGCTCTGGCAAGTGTTGCTCAGTGGTTAGAGTGCCAGCCCATGCATAGAAAGGTCTCAGGTTTGATTCCTGGCCCCAGTTGGGGCCGTTGGGGCACATGCAGTAGGCTATCAATTGATGTTTTTTCTCACATCAATGTTTCTGTCTGTCTCTCTCCTTCCCACCCTCCCTTCCATTGTCTCTAAAATCAATGGAAAAATATCCTCCTATGAGGATAAACAAACAAAAAGAATGCCTAAAAGTCAATGGTAAAAAAACCCCCACAAAAAACGAAATTGGTAAAAGACTTGACTAGAGACTTCACAAATAAAGATGTTAGTAAAAAGCACAAAGTTGCTCAACAATAATGTTCCTGAGGAAATTCAAGCTTAAACCACAATGAGATCTATAGCTTCTGGAAAACTGAGTCTCATATTGTTGATGAGAATGTAGAATAGTACAAACATGGAAAACTGGCAGTTTCTTATTAAGTTAAACATATACCTACACTATGAGCCAGAAATACTACTCCTGTATGTACTTACCCAAGAGAAGTGAGTACATATATTCACAAAAAGAGACATACAAAACAGTGTATAGTAGCTTTATTCATGATAACTCGCAACTAGAAATAACACGAAAATCCATCAACAGGAGAAAGGATAAAAATGTGTCTATTCATACAGTGGGACACTCTTCAGCAACTAAAAACTGAACGACTGCCCAGCTGGAGTAGCTCAGTGGTTGAGCGTCAACCTTTGAACCAGAAGGTTACTGTTCAATTCCTGGTCAGGGCACATGCCATGTTGAGGGCTTAATCCCTAGTGGGTGGTGCACAGGAGGCAGCTGATCAGTGATTTTCTCTCATCATTGACGTTTCTATCTATCTCTCTCCCTTCCTCTCTGAAATCAATAAAAAAAACTGATCAACATGAATGCATATCAAAAATCATGACATTGGATAAAAGAAATCAGACAATTGGGAAGATTCATGCAGTATGCCACTGGATTGTATACTTAAGATCTATGTATTTGCATATGTATCAATTTAAAAATACATTTTGTAGAAAGTTTTAAAAAGGCATTTTTAAGTTAAGTATGTTACCAGCATATTTATATTAGTAGAATTTTTTAATGCACAAAAAGGCTCATGACACTCACTTACTATAAAGAGATGTTCTGAAACTTATGGTCTGCTTGAGTAGCAAAGTGGGTACAGTAAATAAAAGAACTTGAGAAAATGAGAACTGTGCGTTGTTGTATAGAAAAAAACATCATTAACCACACTGGGGGTTTTACTATGACATCAGAAATGGTTTCTAGGAAGCCCTTCAAAAAGAGGGATGTGACTGACCAGGATGTTGAGAGACAGGAAGCAGAAAAATATCAAACAAGATAAATGTTGGGGAAAGTTTAAGCAGAAAGAGAGATGGCCAATACTGTCAAAGATACTTACATTATGCTACAGTTCATTTAATACTATAACTCTATGAAGTAGATACTATTATTATCCTAACTTATAGATGAGACCTAGATTATGTTTGTTCCTCAAAATCACACAGCTAATACATTGTGAAACCAGGCTTGAAAATCAGATTCTGACCCCTTTTAGCTCATATGCTTTACTACCTCAAAGAAAAGCAGATTTTACTTTTTAAACTTAATAGGCCTCAATATGAATATGTGGAGTGGAGAGCAAAGAGGCTAACACCCATTTCCCTCTACTTCTTCCTACCTTCCATTATGATGTCTAAAAATGCTCATTTTCTCTTTGCCATCATCCCTACAACTAGGGGTGGCAAATATAACCCATATCTGGCTAATGAGATATAAGAGAATAAAAATGAAAGCCTGTCCATCTCTTCCTGCTTTTGGACATTGTCATTTGAGAATGTGACAATGTTTAAGATTTTGCTGCCATGTTGTGAACTGTGACACATTGAGGGAGAAAAAGTACTAAAAAATGTCATGTCCTTCACTGAGCCACTCGACCAATCCTCTCTTCACCTATGTCCAGACTATTTATACTAGTATAAGATATAAATCCCTACCCCCAGGCAGGGTGGCTTTGTTGGTTGAGCATCGTCCCGTGCACCAAAGGGTTTCCAGTTCAACTTCCAGTCAAACAACTGATATTTCTCTCCCTCTCCCTTCCTTGCTCTTTTAAGTTTCCTGTTACTTGAGTGAAAAGCACTCTAATTGATCCTGGGTGCATAGAAGTTATTCAAGCCCTGGCCAGTGGTGTGTAAGAGAGGCAACTGATCTCTCTCTCTCTCTCTCTCTCTCTCTCTCTCTCTCTCTCTCTCTTCCTCTTCCTCCCTCCCTCTTACCCCCCTTACCCCCCTCTGAAATCAGTGGAAACATCCTCTGGTGAAGATTTTTAAAAAAGTTATTATTCAAGGTAAAGGTTAGGTAAAGAAAATTTATGGCATGAATGATGACAAACCAAGGTAAGAAAAATACTCACCTTGCTTGTTTAATTTTGTCCCAATTTCAGGCAGACTACAGTAAACAACATCTCCCAATGCTTCCTAAAAACAAACAAAAAAACTCTAAGAAATATAATTAAACCTCCTAATAGGAGCAAGCCAAACACCGAATCCCCTGTAATTTCAGATAGTTGCACAAATTTTACATTTGATGGGCCACATTTTTTGTGTTTTTTCTTACAACCCTTTAAAACACAAAACTATTCTTGGCTCAGGACCTACAAAGAAACAGGCCACTAGCTGGACTTCCCACAGCCATAGTGACTGGTTACAAACCATATATCCTCCAAAAGATTACTATCTTCCCTGAGAAGAATCACACTTCGCATTTTTTCACTTCTGCAGCCATTTCTCCCTCAGCATTTGCTTAAATCCTACCCATTAATTCTTCAACGCATAGTCACATGCCTTTGAAGACCTTGACTCCAATAAGAAATTATCTCTCCATCACATTACCACCCACTTCACCACTCAGGTTATCCATCTTGTAATGTTTTGTATGTCATTTTCCATGTAGGTAATTACACTCATAGATAAATTCCAGGAGGTATGGACACTACACAATATTTCACAAGCACCCTGTATTGGACTTCAGTAGGTACACAGATATACCAATGAAGATATATTTGTCATTGACTTTCAATACCTGATATTCCAACATTTCTATAAAATATTTTATATTTCCATCAGTTAACATCCCCTTTCCTCATAGTGCCTCACCTCCCAGAGATCCAGTTTACAATTATTAACTGGTGCCGCCATTTGACTTAACGTTTTCTTTTACACAATATTTCAAATATGGGATCAATGGGAACAGGGGAGTTAATAGAGAAATAGATAGGCTAAATAAAAGGTTTCCCTCTGCGTAATCTGTGCCAATCTAGGTTTTTCCCTCTTCAGCTCCCCTGGTCATGTGTGTATCACTGTATCCACAGAACACTTTCAACACTCTACCCTTTTGCTGCTTCTTTCCTTATCTACCCCAATATGAAACGAACACATTTCTTTCTTGAATAAGTTTTGTTTCCTACCTTCAATTTTAAATGTTAACCTTTCAATATCTCTAACACTACATACTCCCCTAACCAAATTATGTTTTTCACTTGTTTCACTTATGATTGATGTTTCTCTAAGGGCCTGTAAAGGGCCCTAAATACTAAGGGCAGAATAAACAAATTTTAAAAGACAGAGACAACCCAATTTAGGTGAGAGCAGACTATTTTAACTATTTCGAGACAATCCAATACCTGTGCAAAATTGCTGATTCCCACTGTTCCAATACCATTTTCTGTTGTTATCCATTCATGTTTCTCTGTGAATTTACGCACTAAAATAGAAGACCAATATTTCAGAAAAGCAGTAGCATCACTTCTTATAATGCATTTTTTATATCAATGTTGTCAAAAGGCAAAACTTTTCCAGTATTTGGTCTGACTTATTGACATTGCCTTTCAATAGTACATGCCCTGGAAAAAATGATCGCAACTAGATGGGGGTTCGATTCCGGTCGGGGGCATGTGCCTTGGTTGCGGGCACTTCCCCGGTGGGGGATGTGCAGGAGGCGGCTGATTGATGTTTCTCTCTCATCGATGTTTCTGGCTCTCTATCTCTCTCCCTTCCTCTCTGTAAAAAATCAATAAAATATATTTAAAAAAAAAAATAACTTGCCTTTTTAGAGTTGACCTAAGACAGCTTCCCTGCAAGTTGGTTGCTTGCAGGCAAAGTGGAATCTTATAGGAATGAAATTGACCTAGTAAATTACAACTTAAATAAGTTCTTAAAATTCCATTTTAATGGAATTCAGCCCTGTGTGGAAGAAATAGGCTACCATCATTTAAAGAAGCAAACTATAAGATAACTCAACAGTCACCTCAGAGCTAAGCCATGAACAGGTGGAAAGTTAAGTTCTATTGATCTTTCATTGGAAAGGTTAGCCCTTGGCTTTCTTTATGAGTTTCTCTTGAAAGATATGGTCGCCTTAGCCGGTTTGGCTCAATGGATAGAGTGTCGGCCTGCAGACTGAAGGGTCCCGCATTCGATTCTCATCAAGGGCACATGCTGGGATTGCAGGCTCGATCCCCAGTGTGGGGGGTGCAGAAGGCAGCCAGCCAATCAATGTCTCTCTTATTTCAATCTCTCTCTCCCTCTCCCTTCCTCTCTGAAATCAATAAAAAAAGTTTATTAAAAAAAAAGATATGGACAAATATTCAACAATTCCTGGAAGAAAGATTGACCAAAATTTAAGATATGAAAAAAATAATTTAGGCTTTAATGTTAAAAGTACTTGCTTTAAGAAATAAGTAATTTAAAAAATATATATATATATATAAAACCTTCCAAAATGAAGTAATTTTTCCAAAAATAATGCACCAGAAGTGAACTGGAAAATGGTTCATTAATTCCAATATTTTAAAGTAAGCCTTACTGGTTCACTCTTCTCCCTTACCCAAAGATAGTTGTACTTAAAACAGCATTAAATTGCTTTGATTATACAGCTCTGATGTGCAACAGAATGTAAATAAAGTATAGCTTATTCCTTTCTTTTCCCCTTAGCATTAAAAAGCTTTTAATTTTATATTCTTCAGTGGAAAAGTTGCAAAATCTGTCACAAAGGAATTTGCTTTACTTTGTTCCACTTCAAATAACTGAATGCTTCAGTCTAGCTAATCCTTCTATTAAAAAGCTTACGATTTGGCCTCGATGGTGTGCTCAGTGGTTAGAGCGTTGGCCCACTGATTGAAGGGTCCTGGGTTCGATTGCCAGTTAAGGGCATGTACCTCAGTTGCAGGTTCAATCCCTGGCCCCAGTGGGGGCTTGAGTTTGGGAGGCAGCCAATCCACGTGTGTCTGTATCCCATCATCCCTTTCACTCTCTGTAAAAGTCAATGGAAAAAATATCTTCATTCCTCCAGTGAGGACTTAAAAAAAAAAAAGTTTAAGGTTTATACTTGATGTCCTTCCTGACTGCAACACTGTCCCACTTTTCACTTTTTCTTGACTATTTCGTAGTTCAGTTTAGAAGCTCTTTCCTGCCACAAGTCCAGTCTAGCCCTTCAAGACTGGGTTCCTGGGCCCATCCAGCACATTCCCATAGCACTCTGCACTACTCTCCTCTCACCATAACCCCAAACACACTCATAGAACTTAACATACTACAGATATAGCCCATTTATCAATTTTCCCCAGGAAGGTAGATTATAAGTGCAAAGCAAACAAGTGCAGAGTTTACTTTATTTGTACTCACATTTCTAAACAATGCTGGGCATATAGTAAACTCTTAAAAATTGGAGTGAAGTAATTTTTAAAAGTTTAAGTAATAGGGATTCTGAGCAAAATATCTAATATATAATTATTTGGCTACAACACTGAATTCTCCCTATCATTCTCTTACAACTCTAGAACAGGTTGTTTAAAACTAACATACCTTTTAAAAGGCTAGAGAACTATAAATATGACTTCTCTGAAACTATTGTCCTGATTTTGGCCTTACCATCTTACCTAATTGTAAAGATAATCTTAAGAATAAGATGGCTCTCACATTCAATTTAGCAACTGAGCAAGCAAAAGTTTAGAGGAAGAGGCAGCAACATTACTAAGCTAAATGTGCCTAGGTCCACTTGACTTCAAGTCCATTTAAGCCTTTTTTCTAGGCCAGGCTATTTAGGTTCAATGATTAGTAGAATTCTTTAACCCTTAGCCCAACAGGAAAAAAGTGGACAGGAGATTATGTAAATAATTACTTTCTTACTGAGCTTTGAGCCTCAGAAAATTAGGCGTTTTGAGTAAACTATGAAAGGTTTGTATTTCCCTTCTTTCAAAGTCACTAGGCAGATAAAATATATTAACACCGGTCAATTTTTTGCTGTTTATTTAATTCAATGAACTAAAATGTAATTACATTTATCAAATACTTACTATGTGCCAGGCTTTATGTACAACAGTTACATTACTATTATTTCACCCTCCCAACAACTCTGTGAGGTAAGACTATCATTTCCATTTTCCTGATGAGGGACACTGACTCAAAGTTTTGCTCGCTTTAACTAATAAAAATCTAGATCCAGTGTTTTCACTTCAATTAATGCTCTTGCTTTAATTTTACTTTAGTGTTACTGATATGATCCGTAGAGCAAACTAAAAGCCTATTATTAGTCGCCACTTTTAGGGTCCACGATGCCCACAAATGAGATAACCTAAGGTCAAGAAGCTTAGGGGCACTGGCCGGATTTTCCAGGAGCCAGCGGTAGACTCCTGCCCCGGACACTGCGATCACGCGTGCTCCAGGCTCCCTCCCCACCCCCCTCCCGCCTCCCTAACCTGCAGAACAAAGGCTGCGGTGTCAGCCACGCCACTTAGGGAGGGGAGGAGGGGCCGCACAATTAGAGATCCCAGCGAAAAAGAAGTGTGCTCAGGAGTCGCGTGGCTTGCTAGACCCTGGCGATCGGCAACCGGGACTTGAGATAAGGATCAGGCGAGGGGGGAAGCGTCCCAGCTCACCCCCACCCGAGGCAGCCCAGCTTGCCCCACGTGCCCACTCAAAGCTTACCCAACAGCAGATTGGGACCAGTGCGCAGCGTCCGGATGGCGCCCGCCCTCAGGCCCCAGGGCTGCATCGGGTGCCCACGCGGTCCGCATGGCCCTTGCGGCTCCGAGCGCCATGTTCGCTAGAGGAGTTGCGGCACTGCTCCAAGGCCGCCCTGGGGGTTGAGGCGGGAGCAGGGGCAGCCTTGGAGCGAAGGTGGCCCGCACGCGGGGGCGGAGCCTGGAAGTGCAGGGGGCGGGGTTTGGTAGGGCGACGCGTAGGGCGTGAACTTGCTGAAGGTCCTCAAGCCCGGAAGGGGCAGCAGGAGAGGGAAGAGGACTAGTGCGATGGGCGGGGACCAGGCTGGGCTGCTGGGCTGCTGGGCTGTGGAGCCGGGCCTCCTCAGGAGGGGTGGGGCTACACCTCTGGACTTGCTTCCAGGCAGTTGAAGTGATGGATCAGCAAATCCCATTTCCCCAACTCGCCTGAGTCCTGGGCGGATAGGCCCCAGGGTTGTAGGCATTTCCTAGCCTTTGGGCCAGGGAATGCAGGGTAATCCCAGTCCTGTTAAAGGATAGGATCCTGCCCTCCTACAGAGGTTCCAGGGCAGGCAGAGTGGTATTCAGTCAAGTCTAAACAGAATCATTCCAGGAGATGGCATTGCCCAAGGGCATGCTGACATAACTACAGTTTTTAAATTAAATTTATTGGGGTGGCCCTAACTGGTTTGGCTCAGCGGATAGAGCATCAGTCTGCGGACTCAAGGGTCCCAGGTTCGATTCTGGTCAAGGGCATGTACCTTGGTTGCAGGCACATCCCCAGTGGGGAGTGTGCTGGGAGGCAGCTGGTTGATGTTTCTCTCTCTCATCGATGTTTCTAACTATCTATCTCTCTCCCTTCCTCTCTGTAAAAAATCAATAAAATATATTTAAAAAATAAATAAATAAGTAAATTTATTGGGATGACTGGTTAATAAGATCATATAGGTTTTAAGGGTATCCTATATAATAAAAGGCTAATTAATATGCAAATCAAGACCATTATAAACTTTTGAACAATAGATACAGAGGCAGAGCTGCCTCAAACAGATTGTCAAACTGCAGCGGAAAGGCTGGGGAGGGTTGGGGGGCAGGAGGGAGGGGGGTAAGAGATCAACTGAAGGACTTGTATGCATGCATATAAGCATAACCAATGGACATAAGACACTGGGGGGTAGGGGTGGCCAGGGGATTGTTAAGGGCGGGGGGAAAAAAAGGACACATATGTAATACCCTTTGTAACACTTTTAGCAATAAAAAGAAAAAAAAGAAATACAGAGAAAAAATATGCAAATCAACTGAATGGGGAAGGACTGATCACTATGATGTACACTGACCACTAGGAGGCAGATGCTCAATGCAGGAGCTGCCCCCTGGTGGTCAGTGCACTCCCATCGAGGGAGCCCTGATCAGCTAGAAGTCCTGCGCCAGGCTCACGAGTGGTGAGCACAGGGATGGTGGCGGAAGCCTCTCCTGTCTCAGCGGCAGCACTAGGAATGTCCTACTGCCGGGAGTGGGCCTAAGCCATCAGTCAGACATCCCCTGAAGGCTCCCAGACTGCAAGAGGGCGCAGGTGGGCTGAGGGATCCCCCCCGAAGTGCACGAATTTTGTGCACTAGGCCTCTAGTATTTCTATAATACAGAATCTGTGTGCCCCCCACCCAAAGTCAAATTAATCTTCCATTACCATACATAAGGCCCCCTTCACTCCCTACCACTCCCATTCCCTTCCTGCTGGCAACCACAATACTGCTCTTTGTGTTAAAAAGTTTCAGTTTTATATCCCACATATGCATGAAATAATATGGTTAACTTTTTCTGACTTATTTCACTTAGCATAATATTCTCAAGGTTCATCCATATTGTTGCAAATGGCAGTATTTGAGTGACTACAGAGATAAGGGAGAAAGGACACTGGAGGGCATGGCTAATACATGTCATCCTCTCCCTTTCCTCAGCTCAGCCTCAGGGGACACACTTGAAACTTCATCGAGACTGAGGTTAGGGAGAAAAATAAGAGAGGTTAAATTCACAGAGAGTCTAGATATAGATTTGGTATCCAATCCTCTATCACAAGACACTGGCTGTTTCTATATCTTGGCCACTGAGAATAAAATTGCAGTGAACATAGGGGTACAGGGGCTGAGTTTGGCAGAGAGGGCAGCTCTTCTGGTCTGGTTATGGGCTAAAGCATTTTTTTTTCATCAGCCAGCATTCTAACCCAGGCTGTTTTTAGGGCATGGCCGAAGAGCCAAGAGAATGAGTAGAACTCAGGCTTGGAACAGACATACAGTACTCTTACTTCAGCCAAACCAAAGCCAGTCAAGTCACAGGCTATCCCAGATTCACTGGGGTGGGGAGATTCCACTCGTTAATGGGAGGAGCTGAATGTCTCATTACAAAGAGCATAGAAAAGTGCAGAGAATTGGAATTTGTTTTACATTCAGTCTATTACAGTGGTCAGTCAATACTTGTTCTTTTTTCCCCCCTTTTTTCTTTCTTTATTGATTAAGGTATTACATATGTGTCCTTATCCCCCACTGCCCTCCCGCTCCCTACTCCCACCCCCCCGCTCATGCCGTCATCCCCCTGGTGTCTGTGTTCATTGGTTATGCTTATATGCATGCATACAAGTCCTTTGGTTGATCTCTCCCCCTTACCCTCGCCCTCCCCTACCTTCCCTCTGAGGTTTGACTGTCTGATTGATGATTTTCTGTCTCTGGATCTATCTTTGTTCATCAGTTTATGTTGTTCATTATATTCCACAAATTAGTGAGATCATGTGATGTTTATTTTTCTACGACTGGCATATTTTGCCTAGCATAATGC